ATAATTTACACCATAAAAAATTCAGGAGAGTTTGTAAAAAAAGTTAAAAGCATTTCTCCTAGAAATTTACTCATGGTTCCTTTTGATGTAAAATCGTTATTCACCAAATGTTCCAGTGCAGGATGCATTACGATGTCTAGAAACCAGACTTCGCGAATTTCATTTCTCTTGCATCGAGATTGATGAGCTTATTTCCCTCACTCAACACTGTTTGGAACAAACGCATTTTGTTTTCCAAAATAAATATTACAAGCAAACTGAGGAATTAGCCATGGGAAGCCTCCTCAGTCCCATCTTGCCTGATATCTATATATATTATTATGAATCAAAATTGTTTGAAACTTCATACTTCCCAGCATAGTTCCGCTATTTAGACGTTACTTTTACTCTGCTTGAAGGTAATAAAAACGATTTAAAAAAAGTTCTTTCCATTGATCCTGCTATTCAGTTCACCTTTGAATTTGGGACTTGCAATTCTCTTCCGTTTCTTGACATTTTGGTCAAACGTAACACACCCGACTTCAGTACTACGTAAACCTTCATCAGTTTGCCTTCCACCACACTTCAAATCATGTCATCCGACTAAACAAAAGTTAGTTTCATTTTATTCCTATGTTTTCCGTGCTCTTCAAGTTTGCTCCTCCAAACTAGCCCTTGATGAAGAACTAAATTATTTAAAAGCAATAGCTATTGACAGGGGCTTTTCAACCCAACATTATAATCAAGCAGTTAAAAAATTTTCATCTCAACACACTAAAAGCACCACACTATTTTTAGGAGATTATAAAAATCTGTTGTCATTCCCTTCTTTCCATCAATTAGCTATAAAGTTGCACATATTTTGCAGAAATTTAAACTTTCGGGTTGTTTATTCTCCCCATCAATAAAATTCCAACTTCTATACTCAAGGACCCCATTCCGGATATGAATTCCTGGGGTATTTATAGGATTCCTTGCCAGTGTGGTTTAATTTACATTGCTCAAACTAAGAGAGCCTTAAAATTTCGCGTTAAGGAACATGAGGCATATGTTAGGAAGAAGGAAACACAGAAGTTTTCTGTTGCCCAGCATTGTTGGTCCGAAAATCACACTTTCAATTTTTCTGCAGCCAAAATTATTTAAAAAACATCTTCCATTGGTGAAATGGATTTTCTAGAGGCATTTCACATTCAAAAAAATCGTTCTGTTATAGTTAACGACTCTAATTACAATCCATCTTTGCCTTCAGCCCTTAAAGTAATTATGTTTTAATTTTGGTTTATCAACAGGTCGTGCCAGTAGCTCGACGCTTGTGCGTTCTTTCTTATCTTTTCTCATCTAATCACTATATCTTATCTCGTTCATTTGCGCTTTTGCTCATTCCGAGCTGTGACTCCGAGCGTGGACGCACTTTGGTTAAGCTCAATTTTCGAAGAACTGACCCAATGCCGTAGGCGGTCAGTTAGTTCACTGTTATTCTACTGAGTACCTTCTAGACTACATGCGTGACTCCCTCGGATCTCATTATTAATCATATCCTTTTTTAGGACAGTCAATACTGATGAAGATGTTAGCGACTGTACGGACTCCGAACGATCAACGTTATCCCTACCTTCCACCTCAAGACGTGAAGAATTTCTGAAGGATCCAATATTACAGAAGAAAAGCAAAATAAGAAAGGAGAAGAAAAGTCGGAAAAAATGGAGATGAATGCGGAAAAGGCTCAGGAAAAGGACCCTCAAAAAATCCGAGAGAAGGAGCTTCAGGAACTGATCAAGGAACATGGAATAGAATACGTTACGACACATCTAGAATTCGAAGCAAGCCTGAACGGAGCTTAATCACCTGAAAAAAAATCCAGAATCGTCTCTGCATATGTCAAGGAAACAGCCTAGTTACTCAGTAAGAGACAACGAACTGAAACAACCACCGATAATGTTGGCGCAGATGATGAATGGACCACACCAAAGAAAATCGCCAAAATCAACGAAAAACCAGAACCGATGGAAATTTCCCAAGAGAACAGATTCCAATTGCTGAGGAAATTTGCAGAAGAAAATTTAGAAGGCGGAGCAAGCGCAGAAGTCCCTCCCCCTCCCATTGTATTCTCACAGCGAACGACTGCATTACACTAGATGAAATGTTTACGAAGAACTGTACTGAACCTCATGAGTGTCAAATGAGAGGAAAATCAATCTTCGTCTATACCAAAAACTTAAAAGACGATGATGAACTTCGATGAACAAACTACTTTTAGAAAGGAAAATCCCTTACCATTCATACCAACTTGATTGAGAAAAGCCAATACGTGTAATTCTGAAGAAACTGCCCGCAACTTTTAAGGAAGAAAACATCCTACAAGGCAGGAACTTTCCCATAGAAAAAGTAAAGCAGTTCTCAAAACGACGTGAGAGTGCAATAATTAAACTTCCTATCTATCTACTTGAGCTCAAAAGGACCCCAGAAGGTAACAAGATTCATGAGCTTAACAACATATTCAGTTTCAATATCACTATCGAAAAGTTTAGCCCTAAGAAGCGACCTGCCAGCAGTTCGGCCACTCACAATCATGCTGCAGTAACCCCGTCAGATGCGTTAAATGTGGACAACAGCACAGGAGCGATCAATGTTCTATGAAACCGGAAGACAAGCCCAAATGTATATTTTGTGGACCTTGCCATGTCAGTAGTTAAAGAGGTTGTAACAAAAAACCATTGGAAAGAAAAGCAATACACCACAGACTAAAGCTCCCGAATTAACGGAGGAAAACTTTTCTAGACCAAAGACTACTGAATTTCCAGTGCTGAACAAACTACCCTAAGCTACTTATAGCGAAAAACTTTAAAGTAAAATTACGCCCCCACCGAATGACATCAACGACACTATGCCATGGATAAAAGATGACAAAATTAACGCATTCTTAACCTCAATTATCTCGTGTATAGGACAAAACAGGTTTTCAGGCAGACATGCTCATCATAAACTTTGCAGAATCGAAGAATTAGAAAAATAAACGCACCTCTCCTACTAAACCAATCAGATCACAAGAAATTCCTTGACTTCACGATTCTAATTCTATCTTCCTCCACCCACGCAGCAGCGGTCTGACCGCTTCTTTCCATTGTCGGAGTAATTCCGAATTTGTTATACGTAAGGCTCACCATCGCTTCATTAAGAATCCATTTCTGGAATTATCTGTCAACTCTCATCTATGTTATGGTATGAAAGCAATGTTCTTCTCCACGCGTTACACGCAGGAATGAGGCTTATTAGCCCAGGGGCCTGATTTCACCTGCTTACGCACCTGAGCCTTGCGTTTTTGCAGCTGAGGATGATGTTTCGGTAAAACCATCGAAACTAGTCCTGTGAAAATTTAAAAATAAAACGCTGATTTTTGTTTTTTAACTTCTAAATTAGTACTTGTTCGGCATGTAATGGTATCATAATTGTTTTAACTATATTTGGTGTTTTAGGAATTTTCCTGAATTCTACAAATTTAATGAAAATGTTTTGAGTTTTTATGCATTTTTGCCTTACTGTGAAGTGAGAACTGAATTGATTTAATAAGAAGTATATCTGTAATAAAATTCAAAGAAATAAGTTTAAACTAAATACAGCAAAAATGTACATAATTTAAAAGGTCGTACAAGTAATATGGTGTCCACATCAGATTTTTTCTTCTTGTATGAAGTAAAGAAATATTGCAATCTCGAAAACTTTCGGGTACCATATTTCAACGCAAATATCTATTTTAACCATTCTCGAATCCATTTAAACGATATTTTTGCGTGACATCTGTACGTACAAACAGAATAAAAGACTTTTTCCCCCAAAAAATGGAGCGAAAAATGTATTTAAAATTTATTCAGAAGAGGGATTTTTTGTGACGTCTGTATGTTCGTGTGTATCTCGTAGAACGCAAAAGCGACTAGTCTCAGAACGTTGAAATTTGTATGTGGGACTGCTAAAACACGCAGCTCTGTACCTCCCTTTTTGGGTGTAATCGGCCGTTCTAAATGTACATAAATTTAAATAAATATATCACTTTGTTAGCTGCCTCGGTGAGCTCAGTGTTTTAGTCTTCTGTGTCGGTAAATTTTCTATTTTTTGCTTTAAACGTGATTGAATTATATTCTTATGTGCCGGTCAAAGTTTTTATGCCTTTAGTTAAACTGCATGCAATAGTTCTAGAACTATCCGACAGTTTAAACGTTGTTTAAGTGTCACTAAGTCTAACGAAACCGCCATTTTTTTACATATGAAATCTCTTAGTAAAATAAGGAATTAAGTCAGTTTCTGCACCTTCAGTGTCAAGCGGAACAAAAAAGTAAATTTTCAGTTTTGTGCGCAGAAAAACCTGCCTTCTGACCGAAGTGCTCATTTTTGAGTAGAAACTGTTAAAAATAAAATGATCATGTGATCAGAGGGCGTGTTTAACGGTCTTCTGGGTGAATTCTTTCCCCGCAGACTTGTGGTAAACGTTTATGAAAACAAATCTTTAGAATTCTATGTAAGGTATTTTTCTTGGTTTACTAGGCTAGCTTTTTATTTCCTGTTCTCGGATTAATTAAGCTTGGATTTTTCAGTCTAATATATTTTTGTGTGCAATGTGAATAAAAATAAGAAAAAACTGGGCAACATGTTCTTCATTCGAGAAACTCATTTAATTTTCTAGTGAAATTATTATTTTTTTCAGAAACTCTAAATTTAATTGTAAAAACTATTTTTAACTGTATTTACTGTTTTATGTTTTTCTATATTTTACAGTTTTGAATGAAGGTGGTTTTTACATGTATTTCTGCCTTGTCGCGAAGTGAGAACTGAATCAATTGAATAAGAAATATATCTATTATGAAATTCGAGGAAATGGGAGCTTAAATGAAATGCACCAACAATGTGTATAATATAATAGGCCGTAAAAGGAAGTCATGTGGTGTCCTCATCAGAATTTTTAATAGCAAAAGAAAAAAATACTAATCATAATGACTAACTTCATTACTAATCACAAAGGCAAATTTTACCTTGATGAATAGTGCTGTTTTCATTGCAGATTTCGACCAAAATATTTTTGATAGTTTGATAATCTGCAGGAGGTCTTTAGTAATTTAGCACGACATCTTTCTTCGTGATTGCCGATGCAGTCTATGAAATTAATGATTTGCCTAAAAGGAAAAACAATTCTCTGTACATTTATGCAACACTGAACACACTCTATTCGATATTACAACATTTTTAATCAGAAAATAATGACCGTAATATGATGAACCATAGTAATGATAAATTTATAAATGACAAATGAAAAAAAAATGATTTCATTCTTATAAAATGTCACTCTTTCTATTAGTGCCTTTTTATAGTGCTTCTTTATTAGAATACTTCTCCTATAAAAGGATAAAGTAAAATATTATATTAAGCATTTTTACGTTAACTTTATTTTTTACAATAATATTTAGCAATGAAAAAATGAAATATATTAAACATTTTTTACAATAAGATGTGTTACGTTTTTACAATAAGATGTGTTACGTTTTTACAATAAGATGTGTTAGTAACGTGTTTCATTAAGTGAAAACCAATTCAGCAATACAAATACGATGACAAAGATAATCAAAATCGAATAAAACAACCACAGTTTCATTATATATATATTTTTTGAACAGCCACTGGATCTCGTAAATTCTTTCTGTAATAAAGACATTTTGTGTAAAGAGAAAAAAATCTGTAAATTTTTGCAGCTTTCTTTTTCGTTGTGGAAACAAAAAAAAAAAAAAAAAACTTTCTATGTGCAACACTGTAACAGCTGGCTGACGCCAAATAATGTTTCCTACTTCATTCAGTCAATTCACTCTTACGTTTAGACAAAACAAATTTTTTTGTTTGATTCAAATAACATTTTAACTCATATAGATATGTATACGTTCTACACAATATTTTACAATTTGTAAACAGAATATTAAGCATTAGATTATCAAAACTAAAGGTTTAATAAACTACGTTTTTTTCACATATAATGCTCAATAAATTTAATTATATTAAAATAATTTTTTAATTATCTGGAACGAAACTCGAAACAGCAGATACAATTCTTAAGAATTTTATTTAGAATGTGCAATTCAGTTACTCTGACGAGTTAAACGAAATTATTTCCGAATACTGGCGTATTCACTACTTTGAAAAGTAAACAAAACCAATAGTCCATGACGGAAAACAATAATTCAGTTTTAATAATTCTGAAATAATTTTCGCCCAAATAATTATTGCTGCTTAAATATATGGGAGCATGCATTTACTGTATAAATATAATATTTACTATATAAATTAATTTAAAGTTGTATGAACAAACGAAAAAGAACTATGTGGTCAAAAATTTTGCGCACTGTGCTGCAAAATTAAGGAAATTAGAAGATAAATTTTAGTGCGCACGCTAAAAAGTTAACAAAAACTGTGGCTCCGTGAAAACTTCAACATAAGCATATTTAGTTGCTATGAAATGTTTGAAAAAGGAGAAAATACAACATTTGAATATTTACAAGTAAAATTAATAAAAAGTAAGCTATATGCTAAACGAATTAAGTAATTTTAAACACAGTAAAAAACAAATCAATTGATCGAGGTAAAAATAAAAATAGTAAGCTATATGCTAAACGAATTAAGTAGATTTAAAACACAGTAAAATGCTAATCAATTGATCGAGGTAAAAATAAAAAATAAAAATTAAGAAGCGGTAAGTGGTTAATTAGCCCAATTCGAAGTTCATTTTGGCTCGTCAAGGGAAATTTTTTTAAATGAATTTCGAACTAAGCTAACTCCATCACGCGTTTCGCGTTTACAGACAATTGAAACTTTGCGAGACAAATTTTTTAATGAATTAAATAAACTATGTCAAAAACTTTAGTCTCAATTCTCTGTTCCAATTTCCCGACGCGTCCGCTTATTTTGACTCATTAAGGTGTAAAAAAGATAAAAAATAAATAATGGAAAGGCCTGTCCGTTATTACACTTATTTCTGCCTTGAAGAAAATTTGATCAGTATTTATTACTTTGAAACTCAGTTACTTTGCTATCAGTAACAATCTGATTATTATAATAAGGCTGTCTCTTTTAGGAGAAGTTTTGATTGTTTTCCGTTTAAGTTTACTGAACCTATTCATAAAATTTACTGACCTTATTAATAACATATAATCTTCATGTCTCAGATTTATTAGGAAACCATGATTCAATATTGAGTAAAGAATACTGATATGTCCAACAGAAATATCGATAACAATACTTTGATGTAATGCTGCAAGATGCCATTATGAGCTATGTTTCTTAAATTATCTATTAAGGTTTTCAGAAGGTTCCTACTTACGGGCAAATCCTAGTGAGTGATTCGTCATCCCATGGTTCTTCTTCGGTTAGTACTTCATTTACTGAGCACACATGATCGAGACGCAGCATACAAATAGCTGGTCGAGATTCACCTGCGAAGACCAAAATTTCCATTTACTATTCGTAGCATACATATAACACGTAGCAACACCCTGAAGGAGTGGCCAGAAAGTGATGAAACTCGGCAAACAGAGAGAAATAGCAACGAAGAATAAGTGACCTTTACTTCAAAATGATGTACAGAGCGAAAACAGCATCGTCTCAGTAAGTTGAAGGACCACCTAGGATGGCGATACACGAAGCAAAACGTCTAGGCATAAATTCAATGAGACTACGGATAGTGTCCTGAGGAATGGTTCTCCATTCTCTGTCAACCATTTGCCATAGTCGACTTCTCAACGCGGCAATGGCAGGGTCTGCATCTAGCGTCCAATCACATTCCAAATGTGTTCGATCGATGAGATATCAGGAGATAACGGTGGCCAAGGAAGCATCTGTGGATCTTGCAGAGCAAGTTGGCTTATGTGAGTGGTTGAGCGTTATCCTGCTGATAAAGGCACTAGGGCACTCCCTGAAGGTAGGGGAGTGTCACCGGCCGCAGCACATCATCTACATATTGTTGGGCCGTCATAGTGTTCTGAATACGAACTAGAAGTGATCTGGAATCGTATGCAGTTGCGCTCCAAACCATGATGCGTGCTGTCGCGCGATGGAGCATTTCACATTCGCTGTCGGATTAGAATTGTCTCCACATCGACAGCACACTCGTAGGTGGTGACTATCATAGCAGAAACAGAAGCATGACTACTTAACAAAACGACCCTATGCCATTCTGTCTTCCACATCGCCCGAGCCCGGAACCATTGAAGACGTTTGCGACTATGATGTGGGGTCAATGATAGTGTTCTTAACGGAAGCCATGAGTGCACTAGCTGCTTATCGATGTCAAATGCTTCTGGTCGATATGGAAACATCCAGGGTGTCGTGAACATGTTGCAGAATGGAGGCAGAAAAAGCCTGAAGGTCGTCGATCGAATCGTGCTGACGTTACTCTGGTTGCACCAGCACCCCTCGAACTTGCCACATTTCCTTGTTCCAACCAGCGATCCAACAGCTGGTCATTGTGAATGCTTCCACGTGTGCGTCAGCTGAGATTTACTGTATGGACCAACTGCCTTCTCAGTTCGATCACCATGTCCCTCGTAAAATCATCTGTGTGCTAGCTGGAACTGCTTCCGTTGACGGCGGCCTGGCATTCTCTGCTATTATATGTGTCCTCTGACACAAGAACAAAATTTCTACGATGATTTCTCTAGCAGAAATAGGGGCACGAAAACTGAACATTCTGAAGCTTGCTTCCCTAATATCTTCGTCAACGTGCGCTGCAGAGCTGCGCATTTCACGTCATTCGCATAGCTCGCACAGTTGTGCGTCTACCCTGAAATTTGCATAATTTTCGAGCCACTCCTTCTTGGTGTTGCATTTTCAATGTCGGATAGTGCACAAATCGACCTAAAATCTAAAAATTAGCATCTTGTATTTAATAAATACGGTACTGAGAAGAGTAACTAGAATAATAAAACAAACCTCTAGAATATCGTCGATAAACTTGCAAATAGAAAACCAATCAAAATAGCACTGTAAAATGTTGGTATTAAAGTTTTATTTAAAAATATAAACATAAAGCGTTTATTTATTACCCCATTTGCCGTTCTGAGATTTTACAGTTTGGACTTCTTAAGAATGCATTCAGAGGGTGGCAAATGAATCTCCGCGTTTGGCAAAAAGTCTATTACCCGATTGAATGTTATTAATTCTGAATTAAAAATTTAAACCGTGTTTTCAGATAAATAGTTAAAGGGCGTTATTTTTTTACAACTTGCGCGAGCGAATTTATATATTTTCAGGTAAAAATAAATGAGTAATATTATTAAATACCAGAAGGTGCTTGTAGAAATAGGGCTTCATTTTCTATCCGAGATCGCCCTGCTTAAACATTGTGTGAACTCCAGTTTGTAGTAATAGTATTAACTATAAATTAGGCCTTTATTAAATACAACATATAGTTGCGTTAAAGCGTTAAATTAAGTTCTGCTACAAGCAGCTTGTATGCGAAGGAAATATTTCGAATACATACCTGCAAATTTTTTAATCAAAATTATAAGCCGATTATTTAACTGAATGCGTTAAAGATGTTTTGACGGTTATATTTGATCTTATGAATGAAAATTTTTTCCTATTAAGCTGAAGGGCCTGTGGAAGATTATTTAAGGTTTTATATTTCATATGCATGTAATGATAACTGTTTCTAGATTATAACCGTTCATCTCGTCCATCCGTTTTGATGGACTAGCATTAAATTTTAACACAACTATTACTTTTACTGTTATCTATTAATATTTGGTAATTAGTATTGAATATCTAGAATTTTGATTGACTAGACGAAAAAAAATATTAAATCAAAAATACTAATTATGCCACCGAAGAATTATTCATATATTCAGAGTCGAATACTCAAGCGTACTCATGCGAGTCTGCGGAGCTGTGATTGTGAAAATGATATAAGCGCATAAGGGGTTTTCCAAGATTTGTGTGCTCGATCCTCCTCCACGACATTCGCCATATTTTCCGAAGGAGTTCGGGAAATTTTGTAAAGTATCAGGTAAAATTCTTTGGCTACGAACATATGCAGAACGGAATGAGAAGGAGAATTGTAGATTGGAGGCAAGCCAGTCACAAGCGCAGGTGGCTACAGAGTTCAGAGTAAAGCTCAGCGACGTTTCCAGTTTGTTGAAACAGCCTCAGTAATATCCATATCTAGAAAATATGTTTATCGAGAAGTCTAAACAAGGAGTTTAAATATCCATATCGAGAAGATCTAGAAGAGGACGGCCAAGATCCACAACGATGAATGAGGTTTGCTATTTGTCACAAGACTGCTACAGCTTCACAACTTTCACGCGAGCTGTTATGCTGCCTCTAGAACACGATTTTCAGTGTTTACAGTTTCCCCAAAGCTTCACAAAATAGGGGATGTGTGCCAGAAGACTTATTGTTTGCGTCTCGCTCATTGCAGCATACAAGAGAGCCCGTTTAGAATGATCCAGATAACATGCATCTTGGACTAGACTACAGTGGAGCACTGTGCTATTTACCGATGTGTCGAGATTCAGGCTGAACACTGATTCTCAGAGTGCTTGTATCTGGAGAAATCCTAGAACATCCTAACTCATCAGGGGGAAGATCATTATAGTAGTTGACATGTAATGGTTTGAGCATGTACAGACGCTGTTGCACAAATTTTAGGCGAATACCTAAATATTTTGTTTTTTAAATGTTCTATTTAAGAACCCATATTCTTCACTATCTTTCTACACCGTAATTTCCAAGACAATGAAACCGTTTGTAGTAGCGGAAGAAGTATTTTATACCATTCTCCTAAACAGCTTTCCAAAGTCCAAGGAGTTTTGTAGGTCGACGTTTGAACAATCCACATTTTAAAAGTCAAAAAGCGCAAGTATCCATGAGGTTTTTATCGAGTGATTTATTAAGGATATGAGTGAAGCGTTTAAACTTGATACCTTTTTCTTGTTCCATTTTTTCCAGGAAATTAACAGTGGATTTTGATGTGAGACTGCTTGCTTCGTTTTGATGCAGTTCTACTGAATAATGGCACTGTGGGTAAAGAGAAGTTATTTCATATTTGAAAATGGTGTATGATATATGTTCCTGATAATATGTGAAGTTGACCATAACAGTTTTCTGAACTCTTTTTAATTTTTATTTGTCTTTATATCAAATACCAACAATAATCATAATCCCTTCGAAAAACTTTCTTCAGATTCTTTGAACCATTTAAATTTTTTTTTTCCTCTTCGAGGATAATAAATGGATTTTTTTTTCCATTGCTTCAATTAATACATCCAAGATTCAGCTCTTGTGGCATAATATTTTTCCATTTCTATCCGGACAAATGTTTCTCATGAAGAATCCTGCATCGCGTTCGGTGATATTGTCATGGAGAAAGACGATGCACATTATGTTTTTCTGCCCTTTTCAAATTCAAATACACATAAATTACTTTAATTCCAGTTGAAGTTGAGCATTTTAACGATTTTTCAACTCTTTAACTTGGTGGATTTTCTTTTTTAACATTAAGGATCTTACCCTTACAGTGTTCGAAACACTCCGTTTTTTACGTGGATATGTGTTTGGAACAGTTTTTCTCCTCGAAGCCAAACTTAAACCTTTTTTTTTTTTTTTTCCTATCTTGTTGACAGTATTATCTATTGTAGCTTTATACATAAAAAACACTACGAATTTCACAGTAACTTTTAATAGCTAGATATGAATAATTTTCTTCGGAAAGAACATAAACAGAGCCTTTCATCCATTGCTTCTTTAAAAGCTACATTTTGTATGAAAACAAAATTGTCGGTACTTAGGTATTATCGCAACCAGGTTGGCGCGATTTGTAAGTTTGAGTAAAAAAGTATGAATGGAAAGAAAATGTACATTTATTAATTACAGATAATTTTTAATACAGTTCTTTATATTATTTTGTTTTAAAATATAAAATAGCAATTAAACCCTTCCGGTTTCGAATTTGAATAAGTTGCAGAATTATTTTTTCGGCGGAAATCTTTTGGCTATTGCTTTTAGCACTGATTGAAAAGCATCTTCGCCATTAACAGCTTGAGCTTGGCGCCATATAAATTCGATAAGGTATGAGTCAAGATGATGACGGGCTGTTCCTCTCTGTTTTTTGTTGCGCCATTTGGCTGAGCCCCACATGCGCTCTACATGTTGTGTGTAAACGCCCGTGTTGGCATCCACAAAGTTATATTTGTGATTAACAGTTCCATGCAGAAATCCAGCATTTTCGAACTCACTTGTATTGTATCCTTTTCAGCAATCCGAATAAATGATGCCTCCTTCCTTGATATTTTCGCAAATTTTTTCCATGAGGGTAACGGCGCTTCTGTTAGGTAGAGTAACCAAAAAAGTCTCTTTCTTTTCTCGGCAAATTCCGCCGAAAACCCAGTGCTGTGGTAGTACACGCCCAATGTTATTTTTTCTTTTTACAAATAAATTCTTTT